TAAACCTAGCCCTGTAGACTTCGGACTGATTTGGGTTCCGTACCTGAGTTCTAGAGCCACTACCAGTGCTCTATAGTTGTGTCGGTCGTCTGCCGACAACTGTTCATGTATTTCCAGTGGTTGTCCCTTCAGGCTCGTTGCCAGGTACACTGCTTTCTGCTCCTCTGTCCATCCATTCATTTCTGCCAGTAGCTCAAATTGTGCTCTATGTGCTTCCCACGGTGCCTTCCCATCGAATTCCCGTGGCTTCCTTCGTACTGGATCACCCCTATTGCTGACATTCATATCTGGGATGTGATTTCTAACAGGACTGAAGATGTCTGCATTAGAGTTTAGCTGTGGGGTCTGGAAGGGGCTTCCCATTGTCTGGGGCTAATTAAGTCGATGGTTAATGTATCCTCCTTGTGTAAAAGACAATAGATCATCCTCTAATACATTTAATTCGCTTTGAAATTTACTAATGTTTTCCATTTGTGTAATCTGACTTTCTCTCAACTGTTGGAGACTTTCTTCTTGTTTATTTTCTTTCTCCCCCAGCCACTGCTGTAGTATCTCTTCTTGTTCATTTTCTTTTTCCTCCAACCACTGCTGTAATCTCTCTTGTTTATTTTGCTGTTCGAGCTGCCACTATTGCAAGTTATCTTGTCCTTGCTGTAATCTCTCTTCTTGTTTCCTTTCTCGTTTCTCTTGTTTCTTTTCTTTTTCCTCCACAACTGCTGTAATTTCTCTTCTTGTTTCTTTTCTTTTTCCTCCAACAACTGCTGTAATCTCTCTTTTTTGTTTATTTTGCTGTTCTAGCTGCCATTGTTGCAGGTTTTCTTGCAATTGCTGTTGTCTCTCTTCTTGTTTCTTTTCTTGTTTATTTTCTCGTTCTTCTTGTTTCTTTTCTTTTTCCTCCAACAACTGTTGTAATCTCTCTTCTTGTTCATTTTGCTGTTCGAGCTGCCACTGTTGCAGGTTTTCTTGCAACTGCTGTTGTCTCTCTTCTTGTTTCTTGTCTCGTTCTTCTTGTTTCTTTTGCTGTTCTTGTATTGCTGCCATCAAATCTGCTAAGCTGTAGTTTAATTTGCCGCCTCTCGTTTCC